GCTTCAAGAGGTAAACTCTTAGGGAAGTGGAGTTTATAGGCTGGTGTCTTACTAATTAAGATTTATAAAGTCTCACGTTATCACGAGAAAGTGCAATAAATTCCTTGACCACCTCCTACTTTAAGTTCTGTGACTCTTATCCAAAGGTTTCAACTGACCTCTGCGGCGCATTCAAAGCAAGAAGATACTTACCGCTGGATGAAGGGACCATCAGGCTGAGCGAGATCTCCACTGACAGGCGCCTTTTTGCCAAAATGTGGCTTAGGGGGCTGTTCGGTTGTCGGTGCCGTGTAATCACGTGCCTTGAAGTGCTTGTCGTTGCCGGGACGCTTGACTCTATACAACACGAGCATTTCAATGGTTCACACAAGGCCAGCCTACCTCCAATCACCCTACAGGGCTCATGACGAACCAATCAACCAAGCATGAGACATTTCAAGCATTACGATAAGACAAGTGAGCTGTTAGCAAAAATGTATTCACCTTTTCCATGGCAATGAGAAAATACCACAGCACTTCTCCAAAGTGTCCAAATTCTTCTCAGTGCTCTTGATGTCCTCATGAATGACGTTCATTTGGTCATTGACGCGATCCAATTGTTCTATTGGGTAGCAAAAAAATACAATCGAGAGCATAAAAATAGGTTGCTAGGTGAGGAAGAAAGACGACAAGGACGATGACAATGAGCCCATTTATGCGGGCGTGACCTGTGTACTTCTTTCACACACACAAAACCTGCTAATCTGGCGTACCAAGTTAATACAAAGTCAAACCAATCTAACTGCCTGTACGATTTTTGTGTGGTGTGTAGTCTTTTCGCTCAAGTGAATTGTTCAAATTGCAATAAAGTCAAAGCGTGCTGACTTGATTTACGGAAACCCCATTAGCACTGGAATGGACATAAAGGTCAACGCTGGAGCAATCGCAGACAATTGGGTCGAGTCATGAGATGTAGATGTAGTACGATTCATTTAGGACAATAGATTATTTGGATTCAAGAGATTTGGCAAAAGATGTGGTCAAACTGACAAAGAATTTAACTCAATATATGTAAATAGGTGATTTTCTACCAAAAATTATATCACATACAAGGGAGTAGGAAATGGAAAATAGAAAGTCAGAAACAAATATTTTTCTGTCATTTGATGGAAAAAAAGTTATCAAGGAGTTAAGCTGAGCCGTGATCAATTCCTTTATTCGCTTCTCATCCCTTTTAATGATCAGGAGATTACTTGAAAAAAAAGTCACATGGTCATCACCTTCACGAATGAGTGGATTCCTGTTAAGAGTTGGATAAGATAAGCATAAACATTACGATCAAATAAATAAAACATTTAGTACTAAGTGTGCAAAGCTACAACAAATGGAAGCCGATAACTTCGTAAATAGGATATTTTAATGCGAAAAAAGGCGCAACGATAAGTTGCGTGTGAAAGTGAGGAAAAAAGAAATTGTCTTTTTATCAATTAGCAAGGATAGGAATGAAGATGCAATCAGTTTCTTTGTAAACAGTTTTTTCTTTCTATTTACAAAAAGAAGTCGGATTAATTAAATAGCAACAAGTAAGAAAAGACAGGAGCAAATAGTTCTATAATTTTTGAAAAGTAATATGGACATTCGAAAGAAATGATCATTTGATTTAACCTGTAAATAAGGTACTAATGACAGACCTTACCTGTTCTACTGATAAACGGGTGTTAGAATTTATGACTAAAATAGCCTATCTAAACACAGAAACGCTTTTATAGCCTCGAACTTATGCATGAAAAACATCAAGGAGGGACAACAGAACTCGGTCGGCAAGCGCTTAATCAGCATATAAGTTAGGGACAAGTACTAGATAATTTCGAAAAGCCCACAAAAGTGCTAATATAAAAAATGGAAAAGTTCATGCTACAATACAAAATAGTACTCATAACGATGACACAAAACCATCAAGTAAGTTGAGAGCAACGATATAGAAGTCCTCCTTTTCCATTCGGTTTATAGACGCGCCACTTCCAAATAACCTCATTTAAGAAAGGGGCAGTTTCTGCCTCAGGTAAAGGGGAAAGGATGGCGTTGATAAAGTTTTACGTGGGTGTAACAGTAGATGTGCACGAAACCAGTGTGAAGGAAAGTCATGTGACCTGGTGGGTCATTACTTATTAAAAGAAAAAGATACGGTAGAATTTTTCTGTGTGTGACAGGTATCACCATTCATTGATAGAGGGAGGAGAACGTGTACTAATCTTGGGACCACTTACCTCCTTGGTGGTAGAGTTGTTCCATTGTGGCTGCACCAATCTGGTGGCTCTTAGGAATAATAAGAAAATGCGTAAGAATCCGCACAGTAATAGACCAGAAAAGAAGTTATAGCATACGTAAAAACTGTTGGATAAAGTGACTTGAAAAATCACGAATTTCCGATTCGTATCCAAGACGTGGTGGAAACTTATTTCCACAGTCATGGTTTGCAAGATTTTGTTATTAAAAAGCACTTTGTTCATACGAGTCAAAAACATGAGAAAAAACAAACAACTTCACTAACAAGAACCTAGACAATAAAATACACATAAGTGATTTTACAAGATTAAATGAGTGGTCACAAGGATGAAGGCATAGCAGAAGTCATTTCGGGTCATTGCAAAATAAACGCGGACATAGGAGCTTTAAAACGTCGTTTAAACAAATTTGTAGGCATCTCTGTTACCTCTTCAGCCATCGTAACCATTCTTCTTGTGCTCTCTAGTGACTAAAAACTGTGAACGATTAGAAAGAAATATACTTCATCCGTTTTCTTATTTGCCTGCATTCGAAGGAGCTCAAGTTCTGACATGGGTTGACTTTGATCGTAATCATTCTATGAGATGGTAGGAACGAAATAAAAGCAAGCAGTACGTTACCATTGTTATTGTACCAAGACGTGAATTTCCTCAGGCTTAGTTGCTGCAAATGAGTGGAAAGGCGTACCTGTGTACCTATTAACCAATGAACGCGCAAACCACAGTATTCGTCCTTAAGGGAGATGGATATGAACTTATGTTTAATAATTTTCTCATTTTTACAATATTCCTTAGAAAGAATTTTGACCTTTAATTTGATTTAAATATTGATTTGTACCTTCTTATGCGATTCGTTTTGCAGTTTTTTGGTGATCATTAGTGCCCCAGTATTTAAATTGAATTGCAGTGTCAATATTTTTGGAATTACACTGATTTTTAAGTTGGCCCAACTAATGATTTTATTCTATTTAATGTAGGACCCTAATTGCCAATTTGTCCTCTTTTCTACTAGATTGCCAAACCAAGGCCTTATTTAAATTAAGTATTTGTGGGGACAAGTATTTGACCAAATGAATTGGGCAAACCCCTTTAACCCAATCTTTGCAACTCTGTGCAATATGTATGTTGTACGAATAGCTTTTCAGTGAGGAAGTGGGCAGTTGACCCCAACCTGATGATTGACAAGTTGTCAACATCAACCTAAACTAGGGAAGTGCTTTGTATTTAAGCCTTCGAGAACTTGTAACCGTCCCCATTTATGCTAAGGAATAAATACGTCCAAATCCAATTAGCCTCATTGTTCTAAGGTCACGAAGGCTAGGGAAGAGGGGATAAAGGGGACCGTGCTACATATATGCAAATAAGTTATTTAACCACCAATAACTGTACAATTTTCGCAAAACTACTTATGTTTGCTAAAAGAGATCTTGCATTTTCACATTCATATAACATATAAACCGAGAGACGTTCTTGTGATATCACAAAGAACAAAGGGAGTGCATTTATCAACGGTATTGCAAACTTGTGACTAGACATACACAGACCAACACTTGTTCAAAAATAGATCAAAGCCAATCAATCTGAAGTTATGACTAAGTGTTTGGGGGCATCACGCAACAGGGACGCGACAACGAGTTGAAGATGAAATAAGTGATGGTAATTGAAGTTGAGGGCATACTCATGCTGAAAATCTCTCTGATAGGTGTTGCCGCTTCACAAGCCCTAATTTTGGTACCAGCTGACTTGCACTTTCTGGTAGAGCGATGTAGGGCGACTTCTGCGTTCCGTGAATCATTAGGATCCATTCAGTCAACAATGCATGTCCCAGAGCAGGATCCTCACCTCCATGGGAACGATGCTTTTGTGGATCCAAACCCACCGTTAGCTTCCACGTACCTCTCGGACTCTCAGCCCACATGTGTGTGGTCATGAAGGGCCACTTAGTGAATCCCCGACGCGAATCCGAGTCCTTAGGTCTAGCTCCAAGAATCATTGAAGTTGTGTTCATTGGGGAGGTAAGGAACATCACTAAATCCCCCCTTCGGCTAGCTCGAATGCTGATGAAAGCCTGGACGTGTTCAATAAAGTTCACTTGACTTTCTGGATTCCCTTGACAGGACTCTGTGTAGAGCTCCAATTGGATAGGCTTGCCGACAGTGACAACCTTGCGGCCATTGAAAATGCCTGCAATACAATGGAACCGTTCTGGCACAGTCTTCCACAATTTGGCCATTCGAACCATGTCACCGGCGTCAAGAACGCCATAGCCGAAGAGGTGATTGAACTCCAAACCAGCGCCATTGATGGTCCAGTTGTGGGTGCCTTCACGATCATAGAGATGATTGCGCTTGGAGGTGAGCACTATCAGATGTTGCATGTCTCGCCATGTTAGTTCAGGATTCGCTTCCAGCGCCAATGCAAGAACGCCAGCTGCTTCTGGGGCAGCAGCTGAGGTTCCTGAATGATGAAGCGTGCAGTTTCCATAGAGATCCACTGTTCCCACTCCAGCGTCAAGACTAGATTAAGATAATTACCATTACTATACTACTGACAGAATCGTGTATCTTAAGGCATTTTCAGAGGCCCAAATTTCTGCACCACATACTGTAGAGACGACGTGTTAAAAGACCACATGATCAACTTCAGAAATGAAAGAGATTGACGCGTAGCACTTTTTTTGGCATCACATGACCCAATAATCCAACCGCGATGACTGAGGCAAGGTTGACTGCGCTATTGCCAGTGAACAATCCGCATTCCTTTTCCAGTTCATTCCAGCTTATTTAAGTACTTCAATCAATCAATCAGTCCATTTAAACAAAATTTATGGTCCAGAATATCACCCCAAATCCCTCACATTTCTTTAAAACCTGGAGGTACTACCAACCTCAGCATTGATTTGCCATTAGAGAAGGTTGATGCAAGAGTCGACGCACAGGATTCATCGTAGCTGGCAGTCTGGCCATCATTCGTCGCCGAGTTGATCGAAATGGTCCACATAGAAGCGGCATAACCATCGCAATTGCAGTCATCTTCCGGACCTCCATCCCCTGATGCCCAGACATAGAGTGATCCCTTGCCTCCTCGGCCTTTATTCACACCGTCAACAATGGCCTAAATTAGCAAACCTCATGATGCCTGCGCTTTTGAATGGAGTGACCAGAGGTGAACTTAAAATGGGCATAATTTGAGGTCAAACAGAAAGAAAACCTAGATTTTATAGTATAAAAACGATAAATGAGCTCTAACCTTCTCCTAATATGCTTCAAGTCTAACGTTTGCTGCATCCCTGTATATTACTACTGATAGAACAAGTCAGTAACCTGCATAGTTTGATTTCTAGGCCCATCGACAGTTTTGCCATCATCAGTGGGTCCCCAACTGGCAGAGTAGATATCAATGATGTCTCTGGCCTGCGACATGGCAGCAGCTTCAATGAGATCGGTCATGTAGGGCTGGTCAAGCATGCGTAGTCCGGCGACACGCGAATCAGGCGCTACACCAACGCCACAAACACCGTTGCCGGCAACAGCTGCCACCTCGCCGGCGCATCGTGTTCCATGCGAGTTGAACCAGTCGTCTGTATATCGTGGATAGGGAAAGGCATCATTTCCAGAGAAATCGTAGCTCGCTTCGGCGGCGTAGTTCGGTGCAATATCGGGATGAAGGTAATCTATCCCATCATCCATAATTGCTGTCACAACGCCTCTACCCGTAATATTTTGAGCCCAGGCAGCGAGGACATTCAAATCGAGACCTGGTGTGCCTTCAGCTTGGCCTGTGTTATAAATATACCATTCTTTTCGGAAGAGTGGATCTGAGGATAGTCCACGGACAATTTCGGCCTCGGATGGCGAGAGTGCTCTGCCTGCGGACTCTTTTTCCTCTTCTTCAATAGGTCGAAAGCCACGCTTCATGCGTTTGTAACCCTTCAACTGTTCAGCACTTTCAACACTTGGGTGACCAACTAGGGTATCGTGGATAGCCTTGCTTGGTTGTTTCGAGTTCGGGTGTAAAAAAAGGAATTCGTTGGGATGGAAGTAAGTGTTATGATCTTCTAACCACATCCTGAATCCAGTTTCAGCTGCGATTTGCTTGGCACGAGCTTTCAGTGCATCTCGATCCTCTTGACCGTCAGTTTGAAGACGAACCAGCCATTGATTTGTGCGAATTCGAGCAGATATTAGGCTCACAGAGAGCCACAAGACCACAAGACAGCCCAAAACCCCTTGCCTAGCCATCAGGAGGCGTAACTGGTGCATTAGAGGGAGAAGACTCAAAGCCTGAGGAGGACAGTTGGCATCCTCCACGCTCATTGGTCCATGACCGCACGCGCGGGTGAAGTCATCGATCATGGCTGGTGCGTCCATGCCCTCTCGCGGGAAAATTTAGAGACGCAACGCCCATTGGCTGCATTTTTAGACCAATAGGCATGCTTCCTATCTCACCTTCCTCTACAGGACTTCCTACTTTTCTGAATCACTTCGTCACCGCTAGGATTTGGTAATAAATCATTTCACTTTGGATGATTCCTCTCAAAGGGAGTATTTTAAAACAAAAGTAAAAAAAGCAAAGAAAAGCGAGGAATCGTCCCAAATTTGCCTCCTATTTCGGGTGAAGGGCTTTTTTCACGACATTGGGGTGTATTTACAATGATGCGATCGACAGCAACTTTTGTGAGGTTGATTCACCAATCAAGTAGCGATGATAGGAGAGAGAGAGAGTGAGCGGTTAAACTAAAGCGATTAGGAGGGTATGCAAACTAAGGCTGGGATTACACCATTGAGGAGGTTCAAAAGCCACTTACTCAACAGAGGCATCACAGGAGATTAGTCATAAGCGGAAATTCTGAACTAGCAACGAAAACCTTAGACGTAATTAGCTTTATTTTTTGCAATTAAAGTGTCTTTTTTCTTCTTTTTCTCCTGATTCCATTGCAGTGTGAAGGGCAAAGAAGAGGAAGTCAGTCAAATGAAGGCCTATTGGCTAGAAAGGCACTTGTCTTGTAACCCACGCTGGCACAGTTTAGCTGCGGAATTCCATGACGTAGTAACAAGTCTACTTTAAAAGTACAACCTGACTTTTTTCATTTATTCGTCATTATCCGAGAGGAAGCCACATCCTCACGAAGTGCAGTGGGAATATTCAATACAAAAGGCGATCTCAGTACTGTCAAGGTGATCTGAGCAGGGAAATCCCACGAGAAATGCACAGAAATATAGCAGAGATGCAAATTAGGAGGAAAATCAAATGAGAAATACATCCTCGAGCATTATGGATAGCTCAGTAGATTTTTAGGTAGACCGACACCGCCACGCCTTCTCCTCAGCACGCTGTGCAGGCGGCATCATTGGGGAACCGGCTGTGAGGCATAGCTCAAGTAACCGTGCCCTCAGCCCTCGTTGGATACCCCAAAGCACAGAAAATGAAGACTGAATTCCCATCTTTAGAATGACAATGGCAAATAGAACAACTGCAAATCGAGAGGTACAATAGGAAGGCGGTTAACCAATCGGGTTGTAACTAGCTATCACCCTTGTTTCATAAAAATATGCTTCCTCCTTTTTTGAAAAGATAGACTGCACATTTTATTGGGGAGAAAGTCACATCATACACACTGCAATCATTGCCAACTTTACTTCGTTGTTTTAAGTCATGTTTTCATCTCCAACCTTCTGCATGTCTATAGATCAGAAGTCGTTTGACCTGCAATAACAACATTATCTATCGTTCAAGCTAAAGTAGCCTCTTCTAAGCATGAAGTGAAACAGCAATACACTCTAATAGCACAAAATGAAGAAGAATTAAACCTATTTTATCATAAAGTATACCAACGGGAGTAATATAAAGCGGTCAGATATGCCGTTGTGAGCAGGAAAGCGTGGAATAGATGTATGTGTCATAAGCTGGGCGAGGCATCAGTCCTGCCTCCATTTCATCCTTAATTCTATCAAAATACCACTTCTCGAGGTTTGTGTAGGCATCCGGCTCATAATTCGGATCAAATTTGGACGCAAAGAGGTGTGACGCCTCCTTTAGCATTGGTAAGTGCTCATTACCAAGGAGACACACAGAGCGATCATACTTTGTCATACACCTGACTCCGTAATCCTCCCGGATGCATATTTCGGCAAGAAAGCCAAATTTCACTTCAGTATTAGGACTGGGAGCAGTCACACATGCTCCGGGCAGACGCAATTTGGAATTGTAGGTTAGAATGGGGAAAAAATACTCCTCCGGATTGGGAAAAGATTGGTGCTCCAGTAGGTACTGTCGAATTGGGGCCACAGCTTGGCCTAAGACGGCTTCCTGTAGAAATTCTCGCCTATAAGCTCCGTGGCTGGCACCCTTGTACCAAGTGACCTGTGGTTAAACAGACCCATTAGTGATTCCTCTTCTTTCGTTTTAAAGGCAACCAAAAATGTCTAAGACAGACTTAATGTACAAAACAAAGAAGACAATCCTCTTTCTTAGTCATGAAACAATCTAGAGGGGAAAAGATAATCGAGCTCTTTAGCCAGGGGACATGCAAATTACCCCAGACGTCTTTTAGTAATACGAGCCAAAACATGGTAAAAACCTTCATTTTTTGAGCAAAATTGTTTAAAAAATAGGAAAAGGAACGCATCTTATTACGGTAAACGGTAGGCTATAATCGGGTGGCAGGGCAGATGATATGGTCAAATAAATGCAAATGGCATGGCAACCTGGAAAACCCCCATAACAACGGACCGCTAAGTAAAAAAAAAGAAAAACTAACTTGCCTCCCTTTTTGAGGAATTTATTTGGAGTCTTCAGATACTACTTAAATAGGATTCACAATGGAATTGGGAACCTAAAAAGGCGCCGCCTACAACACGGAGGACATAAAAGTTGGCCAGAAATACTCAAACCGAACATTGAGGATTCATCTCTTTGACATAAAAATTATAAATTACCAGAGAGTCTTGAAAATTTAGCAGACCTGTAGGCTAAAGGTGGATTTGAGGATGCATTTTTAGGTGGCGGAGAAATGCAAGTAAAATAAACAGAAAAATTAGCCAAAATTATCTAGAAATAGATCACTTTGTATTTTAATTGCATAGCTGAGGTGAGTTGGGGAGCGATTCCACCTAGTTTTCTCCTTCTACCGATTTTCAAAAGGTGGGTTTTGGGTCAACCCCTGTGTAAGGGCGGAGTGGCAATAACCTGTAAAGTAGGAGAATTTTTTCGTCCCATTCTTCTTTTCCAGCACTACTTCACCACTAAATTGCATTTTTGGAACGGTAAAAATACACTCGAAAATTTAAGTGGGGTTTCCAAGTCCCTGAGTGTCTACTTAAGGACTAATGAAATCCACCCAAAGAAACACTTTTTTAAGATACAAAATACGTACTTTTTGGTGACATTATCTCTTTCTACTGAATCAATTGTTTTAGTCGTAGAGAGCACAGCTAATGAAGGAAACAGGCTACCAAGGAGTAGGCAGAATTTGTGAATCACAGCAATGCTGCCTTTCTTCACAAGCACGGAGTCACCAGTGCCAAAGCACTCACTCTAATCGGGTGGTAACTCCACGACTGCTCTTTCTATTCAAAAATATTAGACCAATCTACCAAAAATGTATAAATGGAAAGTAGAACGACAACTCCTATTTGAGGAGATGAGAGGAAAGGAGAGGCTGCACAAGCAATGACCTTAATCACGTTTTCTTGGTCCATGGCAAAAAACCACCCCCATCCATAAAACAGGCCCTATGAAGCATCGCCTCTACAAGGATATAGGAAGGAGCGTAAATACTCCAAATCATGGTGGGTTGGGATCATGGTGAATGCAATGATAAGGTAAACATCATATTAACTCACTTCTAAGGGGAGAGTCTTATTACCCACTTTTGGTTTGAGGCTATTGGTGGAAAAGGCTTCAACTAGATTGCTTCCGTTGAGGGCTTTCAAAATGGCCACAGTCTCCAAATTTGTTCTCAAGGGAAATTCATCATCGTCAATGTTGATTAAGTATTTCCACCTTTTATTGCGCTTTAAGGCTTGTTCAGCGCAGACAAGCTGTGCCTGTAGAACACTTTCATCGCCTCGTGTCACTGCAAAGCTAGAATTCTTCTCAACTAATTCAACATTTTTCCTGAAACACGTCAACAGACCCTTCATTGCTGTGTAGAGGGTTGAATTAGCCTTTCGGTTCAAATGGATGCAGTAGTAGTTGTTTTCGCGGTAAATCATCCTCAGGATTCGAGCCACTGGTCGCACGTCATTTTCGACCGCTATGGTGTAGGCAATGTCCATGTCGCCATCTCCAAACCGTTTGATGGGAAAACGGTCCAGGTAGAAACGACAATTCCTGTGTTCGGGTGAATCTATGGACGAGAAGAAGGCGAAGGCAGTGCCCTTATCGTAGCCGCCAACATCAGCACCGCTTAGAACAATTATTGGAGAGACGAATCTACCGAAGGGTACTGTGAAAAAGTAGTACCACAGTATAACCAACGATCCCACTATCAACACTGCCAAGGCAAAATGAAGTAGTATGCGATAGGAATCCGCCATATCTCCTTTCAGACAGCGGGGATCTGTAAGATGAGGCAAGAAATTGCTTTATTAGCCAAGGCGAACGGCAAGTTGGAAGGGCAGTGAAATTACCTCAGTTAAGTTGAATTTAAATAATTCATTCATGCTTCTTAACCGTTAAATGCTTAAATAAAACTAAAGAAACATTCTTGAGGTAGAAAAAAGATAAGAACTTTTATTATTCTCCCTTCTGCTTTCCACAGAGTATTAAAAGATTGTAAAAGGACATACAAGAGGGTGGATTTAAGGAGTTACTTCATGACGTAGAAGTCGAATATGCTTGCAAATTAAAAGTTATTATTATCGTACTTAATTAAAGTTATCTCTGTATGAGGAAAGTATTTCTTTTATCATGGTCAAAGTGCATTATTCTTGTCAAACCAAACGATGGAAAGGTGTATTGAGTGGGGACAAATGGAACCAACTTCTGGCCTTAGCGATTTGTTAGTCTGTCTCGATACAAGAGGAATGGGAAAGTCAGTAAGTCACGACTTTTCGTAGGCCAAAGACGCACGTTAGTAGCCTGGCTATGATAAGGCGACTTCAACAGTCCTGATGCGATCGACTTCACACACACACACACACACCTCCTATCCGTTTAAATAGAAAATTAAAGTGCAGCATGAGGCAAAAATTTTTTTAAAAAACACACCAACCACCAATATGTGGAGGTGACACAAGCAGGCAAGAAGCCAGATTGGCTCAGGTAAAAGTTGTCGTTTTTTGTCTGATAAAAAAGTCAGTATGCATCGACTTACCTAGCTGCCTGCTCAAAAGTAAGAAAAAGGAGAAGGTTTAGCAACAGTGCTGCTCCTGGAGAGAGCTGCTGCGCTGTGAGACTCTCTGCACGCAAAGCTTCTCCATCACACACTTGGTGTTGCTGATGACGCAACGTCTTTGCAATGCTATTGGCAGATGGAAAGGTCCTCCTTTAATTTAACACTTCACGGGCCAATAATTGGCAACACAGGCAAGAAATCATGTGTCGCCTTTTAAAACAAATTCCAACCATCCACACTGATCGGTAAGAAAGACGTTCTCATGGCTATTCAACACTCAAAGCATGAAGTTGTACTCCTTCATATTTGATTACTATTGTATGAATGGTCCCAAAAGGAAAAATTAACGAGAATAAACATCCTACTCAAATAATTTGAGAAGATGGCCTTCAAGGCAAAAATGCTAGAAGAATATGAAAGAATAAGGGTTACTTTAAATGTCTTAATACGCCTGCCTGTTCCTGCGGAAGATTTCATGGATACCTTGGACTATCCTGCAATAGCGCTGTATCGTGATTACGATCCATGCGTAGAGACAACTGCATTTGTAACCCGTTAGTCTGGAAGAACAGATATCTTGGTTTTACCGTAACTAAGGTACGGTGAGTGTTTTCGGTTGGGTGTGTATGTGTAAATACGAAGCCTTCCAGCGTTTTGAGAATTCCTCTGTGCTTAATTCCTTCCAGACGATTTTAACAAATGAGGAGGCATTACCACCTATGATGCATAAGACATTGACTAAAAAAGGGAAAGCACATCAGCAACTCGAAGAGTGGCACACGCCTACATTCAGGAGATCAAACTAAACTTTTAAACAAAAAATATTTCCGAACCTTCCACTAGAAAGGTGTTTCTGGGTTAGTAAAGAGCCTTGAAATGTGGAGCGGGTAGACGTTAACCCTACTAAAATGGTCCTGTAAAATAAACTTGTGTGGGACTTACCCACCTACAGTTCACACACAGGGGCAAAGACGCACTCCCATACACACAGTTACCAGAGATCTTTTAAGAAAGATGTGATGCCTTAGATATGTAGGGTGAGTAGTGGGTGGATTGTATGGAGATAATAAACGTTGCAGCTAAAAAAGTCATTTTTCATCACAAGTGATTTTTTTGATCTGATTAATCCAATCCATCCAGTCAGTCGGTCGGTGAGCAGACAGTACCAAGTGTAGGCAAAATTGTCACTAACGTACCTAAAAGAAGTAAAGGACAATTTGACGGTCCTTTAAGCTCCTTGCCATCAGCTAATTCCTTCACACTGACTTCCACAAAGCATGCAGGTGCTAATAAAATGAGCAGTTTTGGCAATTCTATACATCTCCAATTATTCGACTCAACACGAATGCGTACCTCTGCATTTGGCCTACCTCTCGCCAAGTGATTCACCATACTACTTAACTTGTTTAAGCCACTTGTGTGTGATTTTGGATAGCCAAATTAACCGAAAGGACGGACGAAATGGTCCCGCGCCGTTGCCGAATGTAACATAAAACATTGGATAAGAAGGTGGCTAGCCAACCAACAAGCTTCTGTGGCATCGAAATTCGACTGACTGCGGTCCACAAAGAGTTTGCAAGGTAGAAAAGGTAAAATCGTGTCCGTAAAGTTAACAAAGGCAGTTTTTGATGGATTGAAGGTGAAATGGAAGGAAGTGAAGAAGAATAGTGAGAGCAGTAAAGAGCACTACACCGATGAAGTGATGCATTTATCCATGCTTTATAATTCACTCAGGTAAGAAACACAGACTCACATGCTATAAAACACGTTTTAAGGTCAAGTTAAGTTCTAGGATTTCTAGCCAAGACAAGGGTCATTCATGTAATCGTAGATGCTTAAGGATGGTGACAACTATCCTCGAGCAAATGGACCTGCTCGCGGATATAGCGCTCTGGCTGTTCTCAAGCTGTCGGCGACGTGGAAGATCTCATTTTTAAGTTAATTCGGACAAGGTCTCGGTGGCTTCCGCGCACAAGCCAACAAGCACCACAAGATAACAATGAACCTGTCCCAAAATGGCATTACTTAAAGCGAGGAGTCACTTTGTTTGCATGCATTAACACCTTTCGGCTTGGTTTAAACTACACTAACTTCTTGAGACGAGTGACTATAAAAGCATTAGTGAATGGGCAAATGCGTGAATATCCTTCGATATACTCCGCGGTAGACCTGTGAGGTGACGTGTGCGTGAACGGCAAGGTCTGTGCATTAACCCGATCACCCTTGAAGGGGAGATTGAATCGGACTAGTTACATACAATAGCATCTCTTAATTTCTCACAAGGTGGACATTAGAAGTTTAGGTGTTTTTTGTCTACAACTAACATTTGCGCCTGCCCAGAGTCAATGCTATCAAGCTTTCCGGTGTTGTCGCTAGACTGGGGCAAAGCAATCAAAGCAGAGAACATACTACTAATAAAATCACTGCCCGAAGAAACTAAACTTATTTGAGATTAGCAGTCCATGTTTATTACTTCTGTGTGATATTTCCAGCCCTCCTCTCTCTTCTGCCACCATATTCAGACGCCGGTCACACGACTTAAGGACGCTGGAAAAGGAGAGTTTGGTCTCCCTTGTGCCATGCGTAAAGATGCTCAATTTTACTTAAGTAGTTCTCGCTACTGAGGGCAGTTGCGCAGTACCTACGATATAACGAAAACTAGGAAATTTACATAAGAGACGGAATGAATACTGCTTTTACAATACAAACGCGAGGAGAAATGGAGGGTACGGTCAAACCTACTATGGCACTTGCTTTGTGTTGAGTAGAGAAGCTTGAGAGGCTAAACCAAAGTACTCACTACGTTCCTATTCTATGTGAACTTCCAGTTTGCTTGTTGTAGACGAAGCTACACTCGAAAGCCGCCATCTACATGCAAGGTCTGCACGAAAGGCATAATTCTTCTGCAAAATTGGGTGAGGAAGTCCCAAACTTGTTCTTTTAAGGTACTTGCTCTTGGAACGAGTTAATCTGAATCCCATGGGGAGGGGACTAACTAGCATAAATGTCAGAGGCAGTATCGTCCTATCCTAGGAATCAAGGAGGGCCACCTTGATACAACCAAGCGCCGCAAACGACCAGCTTCATTAATGACAGGATCTGCATATATGGAGGTTGAAGTCTTTGAGACTCTCCATCCACACGAATTGGCAGAGATCGTGGAACACCAGTCGTATCGAATTACAGCCACATGCCTTAGCAGTGGCCACCCCAAGACACTTAAATACAACGGACGATTTGATGGGTATGTTCAAGAAGCCACAAAATAAGGTGTCACAAGTAAGTAAAGAAATAAATATTTTGGTCCTTACTTTCTTGGCGATTGAAATTCCCGGTTCAAATTTCACTGTCCAGCCGTGACTCACATCAAACGTAGATAGTCGGTGAGGGACTTTTTGAAGCTGTCGCCTTGTCCACAATGCTTTACATCAGCCACACCGATTCGGTGTGTCTATACAAGCTGTGACAGGGAGTAATGAGGTGATGTCGTGAGATCTGTCACTTGAATCGCATTTAAGTGATTGTTTGCTTACAGCTCCTCAATGAGTGGATCATTAAAAGGCTACTGGGACATGGCCATCACCAAAGTACTGGAATTCGGAAACGGTACGTTTCACACCTCGAGAGTGAATCCATAAACTTACTTCTGGTGCAGCTATAATTGACTACCAAAGTCTTTGTTATCTGCACAGCAAATGGACCTCTTTAGAGAAAAAAGCGTTTGTATTCTTGATTATTCATCTAAAATCACTACTAAACAAAGGAACGCTCCCAAGGGGATAAAACGTAATATCAAGATCTAACAAACCAATCACTTCATCTATGGAATATGGGAATTGGCCTTCCCCTGTGTTGGCTTATATAGATGAGTCGTTACCACATTTGGAGGTGAAACCAAAGCTCTCCCTCCCCATCAACAACACATTTTGCCCTTCCTACCGCTTCATGAAGAGTATCCTATCCTCGAAAGGAGTCTACACGGAAATGGCCATCTTGACATATGAACAGAGAGGGCTACTTGATGGAACGAGTAGCAAGGTGGTGGGAGAGCTCAACATCCGATCAAATATCTGCGAAGTTTATCCGAGCTATGAACAGACCATCACCAAATGCTGACTGGATGGATCAGGATTTAAGTCCAAGTCACCGTGAATGGTGCAGGAAGCTCACGCATTTTCAGACTTCTGTTTAAGCTCACTTTACAATAACCCAAACTCATTGACTGACAACCCAAAACCCAGACTGAACTGAATTCTAGCATTTTTTTCCCACTTACAGCGGTTGATTCGGCCTGAAAAAACCAAGGCGCAGCCTGTCACACATTATTCGTATTTCTGCATGAAGAGAAGAAGCGCCAAATTACCGCAGGAGCAGCGGCATATACAGGACAGCGATGCAGAATGACAGAAGACGGGACTGCTCCAGAGATGGTGAACTGTGGGAGGATTTGGGCCCTGGATACATAAGACAAATCTACTGCTAGATCTGGAAATCCTTGGTTCACTCCCATGTAACAGCTTCATTGCAAACACTTTCCTCCTACCAATCCTACATTTTCTTTCATCCAGAGGCCTCAATATCTTCATCATCTTTCCACTCCTCCCACTCCTCAACCCAATCTGTGCTCGGCACTGCCTCCTCACCTTCTAGCCATAAATCAACATTTTAGCTAACCAACTACTCCCCCTTGCATTGTCAAGTCTTCGGAAATGTAGAATGAGAAGCAGCGGTAAGGAGAGTGGTTAGTCGGCGGGTAGGCAGGTGCTCCTACTACGCTACTACGCAGCACACGTGGGCCTCGAAATCGAGCAGCACTTCTTCGGGTACAACTCTCAGCACCGAGTCTAGACGCAAAAACTTTAATCGGGGCTCTAACTCGCATACTTGAATGTTCCCCAGCCCTCCCCTCTTATTATCGCCTACCTCATGGGAGAGAGATGGGAGCAAATGTAAACTTAATGCGCAGCAGGTAGAGTTCGGTGTTGTGAAGAAAACTCGTCCACCAAGCCCACCGTGTTGTTTAGATATTTTATTTCTCATCGTTACCCCTCGAGGCATAGCACCACACTTATACGATTGATGCCTATGAACTCCATGTCTACCGTCCCTGAGAGCGATATCATTGCCAACGACTAAATAAGATTCCTTTGATGTCTAAAAGAACGTCTCGGCATCCATTCCATGCATTTAATTGACAGCTTTAATTGTTGGTGTCTAACCCTGACCAGACTAGCACAGCTTTACAGTACAGGAGAGTTGCTAGCCCTCTACTTGATTAAGGATTAACAAATCATATAGTGTCAAAGCTAATGACATTTACTGTCAGCCTATTAAAGTTAACAGGATATAATGACGTGTTGCAGGAACATGTGTGACAGAGATGTGGGTCAATTTAGCTTGTAGTGCCTAAGGGAAATGGTTCAAGATTTTGATAGGCTTACTCAAATGATTAAAGGCCATGGATTGGCAACCGAACCCAGGAGCCAAAGATTGGACGGACTTACTGCATCACTCACGGCGATTTGGACATGAAGCCTGAACCACCCAACCAGCAGTCGATGCTGGCTAGATGGCACATGTTCGGAAATCAAGATCTACGCCTTTCCGATGATTCAGAGCACCCACGATCTGTTTCCTCGGCAGTCTTTATACCATTATTAGCGATGACTTCTTGACTACGGGCTGATTTTTGAAACCAGATGCTCTCCATGAGGCAAAGGGAAGAGCAGCGCGTGTTGGTGAATGCACCTTTAAAATTTATAAACATTCCTCTATGTCGGATAGATCTGTGGAAGCAAAATTTACATGTGCCGGAGATGACGCGATTAGCTTGCTGAAGCTTAAGGTAACTTGGCTCCCCATCAAGTGTGTCCCTTTGTTTCGTAGCGTTCCTTAAGGGACCCTTACGACTATAAATTTAGGCTTTCGAAGGAGCGTCCTTTTTGACATAAATGAATAGGACCCAATTTCTGTGTAAGCATGAATAAAAATTGCTAGCAATTGAAGTCGCCGTTATATGAGACAGCATCTACGACAGATGTGTGAATTCATTTTTACGAGGAGTGGAACAGACCCGGTTAAGGTTTGAGTAATACGTTGTTGTCCATATCCATGATTCCTTCCGTTGGATCACCTATTTGATGGCTGTAACTACGTAAATATCTTAACACCGGTCAAGTGATTGATTTAACAACCTCACCTCCTTGTTTCCTGATGCCGTATATAAACACACTTAGCTGAACCAGATTCTGCAAAAAAAGTCAAAATAACCACAAACGCACTGCTGACAAATCAACACCTCCTTCAAAGAAATAACGTTACGATGGAAGGCGTCTCTAAGTTGTGAAGTTTTGCAAAGAGAGTAAATCCCTTATCACTTGGAAATGCATAGAAACGCTATCTTTAGTATTTTATGAAGGAAAAGTCAACAAATTTTTAAAGCCTCTTAAAGACTGGCTACCCGAGAAGCGATTGACCGTTGAACCGGTGATCGGGTGATGAAAATAAAGCAGGGAGTTAAAAAGATATCGTAATTTGCAGCATTAAAGTACATCAGAAAAACGGCAAACATGGAAGATATTCATTATTTTTAGGTCACATCTTTACGTTGCTTGGATGCAAGTGTATTGTGAGGCAAAGGCCTACCACTTTGTTCATTGTGTGCAAGTATTGTGGTGGGACACCTACATGACATGTGGATGTGATTCGGAAAAACTGGTGTTAATAATCTCTGCCGGTTACTGCAAGAGGAGCACCTCAAAGACAATGACTTTAATATAGAAAGGAGTCTTGCCTTTAAGTGGAACCTATGATAAGTTCTCACAATAAATTGTTTCAGCAACAAATTACAAACAGAGTAATTAAGTAAAGTCAGGGATAAATAAATGCTTACTTGAAATAAATGCAAAAAACCACCAAAAAAATAAACACAGGTAAAGTAAAGGAGCACCAAAAAAGGACAATTTACAAAGCAAAAATGTAAGAGGTGGCAAAATTGAAAAAAAAGCGAAAAAAAAACTAAAAGAAGAACATACAAGAAGAAAAGGAAAAATACAAAAAAGTGGCAAGAGAAAAAATTGCACCTATTAAAGAGAAGAAAAGGCCATTATAAGCCCAAATTAAGAAGAATTTAGCAGTGGAGAAACCAAAGAGGGAGGAATGCATTCACACGTATTAGGGAGGATGACATAGAGGTGAGAGGCATATGTGGGACTGAACTCGCAGACCTCCTCTTCCCTGGTCCTCTTACTCACCGAACACCCGGGTTGATTCGACTTCGACATGTTTATTCGGAGAAGAGGATGGGGAAATAAAGTACAAGTTTAGGGAAGGGGTGGGGTGTGGATGTGGAAGCTCTCTCCAGGTCACTCGAAGTTGACGCCCCAGTCAAGAGGTTCGACTCGCATGTCCACCTCCTTTCTAAAAAAAACAATTAAAACAATGTGAGCATTACACACAGATCAGGAGCCGAAGTATATATATATATATATGGGGAAAGAGATGTCGATGAGTAGCTAATGTATTTGTACCCGAAAGTGATGAAGTAAACGGAGGGGAAATAGACAAGCGGCTAATATTTTTACACACAAGTGGTGAAGTAAAGGGAGGAGGAGATAACAGTGAGCAGCTAATGTATTTATGCCTGCACACGATGCCTTATTTTGTTGTGGAGATTTCGATGATCAGCTTGTGTGTGTATGCATGCGCTTGTTGTGCCAGTGTTGAGCAGAGTAATCCACGATGAGCGACGTGGCATTCTGTGACAAAGAAATGCTTGAGCAGCTTGTGTACTCATTCCTGCGCGTGATATCCTGTTATGAGTTGGAAAAATGGATTAGCAGCTGTTATACACCGGCATACATTGCCGTAATCTGTGGTGAAGAGATCCATGGGCAGCTGAGCTTGATGTTGCAATTCGAGGTGGAGGTATCGATGAGGAGTTAATGGTTTTATACCTGCCTGAGATTACTTTCCTGTAGTGGAGATTTAGATGCGCACCTAATATCTTTATACACCCGCCTGATTTTGTATCCTGATGTGAAGATGTCGGTGTGGATCTCATCAATTTGTATGTGTTTTTTACGATGTATTTTGTGTTAAAATTGCTCAGTGAGGCTCTAATATGTTTATAAGCGTACATTGTTATATAGCATCGCGAGATTCCCTGAAGACGAAAGAAGACACAACACTAGAGCAGAATATATATTCAGCGCAGAGAAAGTGTCTGGATTATTAGCATGGCCCGAAAGGTCAGCCCACCCAGTGAGGTACAAGAGAGGACTAATTCAAAGTACAAAAGTGGCGCCTCACTAATACTGAGGGCTAGACCACCATCGTGTTACATAGCTTCCCCCCTCTTTTGAATGTCATTCCCGACGCTCCCGCAGGTCAACCTCCCGCGTTAGCCATTATAACGTAGTCGGTGCTGTAAAGAAACACCCGCGATCCCACCGTGCCAGTCACCAAATTGGCGTGCAACTGAGGGGATACTTGACCTCAACGTCGCTGATTCCTCTTGGCGGTTTGACTGGATCTGGAGTTTCGTCTGGTTTGGGAACTTGATTCAGGACAGGGAAATGCACTAACCATCATGTATGCCCATAGATGGATGTAGGAACACCGGCCTTAAAGTAGATTTGTGTAAGGAAAGAAGGACGGGATTTAATACAGGTCCATGGGGGATGATAGGGAAAATCCGTAGCAAAACCCCCAGATGATTCACCGCTAGTGTCGCTTCAATTGTTAACAGCTTTGCTGCAGAACACGGGACTGTGAGAGATGCCGAAGGTGGACGTCAACATCAACCCTTCTGTTAAGGGGTCATCACCATTCTCCCATCCGTAGCATATGTACTTCTTCCTCTCCGATGAGGTTTATCACACAGAAGTGGAAAGTCAGGATACATGTCCTTTAAAATCGGGTTCGCTTTCCGTTACCACCAATGCAGCTTCCCGAGACTCCCTTAAGACGAAAGAAGACACAACACTAGAGCAGAATATATATTCAGCGCAGAGAAAGTTTCTGGATTATCAGCATGGCCCGAAAGGTCAGCCCACCCAATGAGGTACAAGAGGGGCTAATTCAAAGTACAAGAGCGGCGCCTCACAAATACCGAGGGATAAGCCACCATCGTGTTACAGTTATCTATTCTGCAGTGGAGAATTCGAAAAGCTTTTAATGTGCCTTTAATAATGATTTTTTCCATTGGAGTAGTCTATGTTCAGCTCTCTTCTTATGCCTGCAGTTGTTGATGTATTTTTCTTTAGTGCAGTTATCAATGAGGATGCATTTTGGTAAACGATGAGGAGCTAATGTACTCGCATGTCCTTTTTATGATGGTACCTGCTGCTGATATATCAATTAATTGTTAAATACTTCAAAGGTGCGCTGCTGTGATTGCTTCTAAAATTGCTAAATCTATGAGGTGCTTACGTATTCATCCGTGCAGGTGATGATGTCTTCTACCGTGGAGAATTTGACGAGGAGCTAATTCATTTGCAAGTGCTGTTGTTGATATATTCCAAAATGGAAAAAGTGAACAAGTGCTAATATTTATGCTCTTGGGGGATATGATGCCCATTCGGAAAGAAGAATTAAATGAGGATCTAACGACTTTTTTCTTCCTTTTGTTTTGAATTTTGTAATGGATGTATCGATGTGAAGTTGATGCCTTTTCCGATGTGGAGAAATCATTGCGGAGGTAATACATTTATTCGTGTTGGTGATGGTATATTCTTCGTTAAAGAATTCAATCTCGATTTTCTGAGGATTAAATTTACACGGTGAACAGGTGAGAAAGAGTTCTTCAATGGAGAATTGTTGGACAATCTATTGAATTTCTCAAGTCATTGTGAGGATTTATTTGGCAACAGGATCTCCTCGTGGAGGCGATTTTTTTAAACTCGTAAAATGGATATTCAAAAATGGCATTTTTGCTCTTGCCATCCACTCATTTCACCATTTTGTCAGCTTAATTGTAGTTTCTTCTTACTTTTTCGCATCGCTTTTATGTTAATGCCGCTACTTTTGCTTTACTTAAATATCAGTAGTAGTTTTCATTTTTCTTAAGTCTATTCTTTCTTCCTTCACTGCTTTCCACCGTATTGTACTGTGTGGTTGGTACCAAACCCAACCTGTTGTCCGCCGTTCACTGGACCATCGTGTCGACTGATGAAGGTAAGCTCTTCTAATGTAATAGTTAGGATTTCGGAAGGGGTGAGCTCGCTGTAATCGCTCCCACTGAAAAGTTTGAACTTCATGCGCGATTGGGTCTTTACCTCTATATAGCCATCATCCCATTTAGCTAAGACTGTTGAATGCGCCACTGCATTCCTCGAAATCAAAATCTGCAGTAGTCACATTTAAAAAAAATTATTTTGTGAATTTGGGGATGCTTTAGGGGAGGCTGGGGGGAGGGGGGGGGGAGAATCTGCACGATCGCTCTTCATGGAAGCCAGCAGGGCCAGTCGGAAAGCCACTAATACTCTACCGCTACAAATACAACTATTTAAAATAGTTATTAATATTTATCCAACCTTTACATTGACAGGTTTCACTGATCTACCAAATGAGCAGCCAATGCCAAGCAGTGAGGATCCATGCTGCACATTTCGGTAACTTTACTATGGCGAATGTTAGGAGACTCGCCATTTGAATGCACACTCCACACGCTGTCTGGCTTCCCCATTTGTATCTCGATCTTATCGAAATTAAAAATTTTGCCGCATTATCTTCTCGTATTGTGCATGGCGTTGGTGAGGGAGAAGATAGTTGAGTAATAAATAAACTTATCTATGAATTAAGAATGGTGCTGTGTGGATTAGATGAAAAGATTGCACAGAATTAAATTGTCCGCCTCACCATCACAATCGTCAACAACAAAGTCGATTATCTTATCAAAAGAGACAAAGAAGAGCTGAAATGTCATCTAAAATGTCTTAGAACATCGGATTGGAGAACAGTACTGCCTCATGTAACTTAGCCTATGGCGGCTATGGGAAAAATGTTACATTCAGTAGCAAAACCACAGTAAATGTACATTTCAAAGTGAGTTTTGATGCAAAATAAGCAGACGCTGTAGCGTTTCGTTCATCTGAACTCTGCTATATGCAAGTGCTATTCAAGTCAAAGGTCAGGTTCATTAAGTAAAACCGGCACGTCCATGCTAGAGAAGCTTCCCACAATTCTGCAAATTGAAATTTGCAAACACCTCAATGGCGCAGACCTCATTAATCTGTGTGAAGCAATGCCCAACATGGAGTGGGTCCTCGACTCCGTCATTTTTAAAGGTACTTTACACAATTACTTGCGACAAATGGAGTGGGTGGACGCAACACTTCACCATATGCTGTATTCTACACTTTCGAAGATGAAGGCAGGGGCAAATGCCGATTCAGAGGTGGAGACGGAGTCAGAGGCAGAGGTTCTTTGTAAGGCGATACGATACTACCAACAGGATTGCCAATACCGTGCAAAGTGCCTGAAACAAGACTTACCTAACCACAACAGAGTTATCCACTTTATGGTGCTTGGGAGGACCATGATAGATTTGGGTCTCCTTGTTCCTTTTATGAACACGCTCCGTGATTGGAATTATAAGTGTGGAGAACGCCTTTATCAAAACTGCTCCCTTGGCGGTGGAGTTAGAGGAACAGTTGCTCGCATATCTAACTTTGATATTCATTTTAATATTAACAACTTAATTGAAGAAGGTGATCAACACCAAAAGAATCTCCGGATGCCCATCATCCGCCAATTCGACGGCTTGGTGTACGTGATTGATTCTACAACGCAGTGCCGTGCTAGACGCGGTCTACCACGCGGCTTGAAATTTCTTATGACCAACATTGCCTCCGGTGTTACGCTTCGCCCTCTGGTGCTGCTCATCCTGGACACGTTAATAGGATGGACGTCCGGTCAAGCAGATTGTCTTGTTGCCAATCTCCACACACTCGACGATGGTGCTTTCCGAGGAAGTACACAGTCGCCAGCAAGTGTCTCGCCTTGCAATTGGTGGAGAGTGTGGCGTCTGCACCAGGAAGATGGGAAGTTGGTCAACATGTATGAAGCCTTCCAATGGGCCGCATGGCAAATCGCCGCTACCAGCGCAGAATCGAGTAGTCCAGGCCAGAGTACGCAACCCGAATAAGCCCCAACACATGCCAACACAGCGATTTGAGTAAAAAAACCATGTACATTTCATGTTTGTCTGCTTGTCCTTCCATTTGCTCTGGTGTATTTTGCACCGTTTAAGAATGGGTTTTAATAATTTCATTTCGGATTGGTGTTCCTGTTTAAGTTTCCATGGAACGCTCATTCTGCATTTCCTAAGTAGTGGTGAGTATTTCGGAAATTCTTCTACAAAGGTGAATGGAATTTTGACAGCTTTTCATGAAATCGACGGTAGAAGCTTGGTTCCACCTTTGTGAATCTATTCACCACCTGGGTCAAAAGTAGAGGCTGAGTCAGCCTTGCCAGTTGCAATGTCCATGGCGTTGATTTGGCCTTGTTTTGTCGACTGAGACAAAGTAAAAGCGCAGCATAACAAGTATCGGAGAAGCAAATCAACTACCCCTTTTCTGTATCAAGAAAGGCTAGCTAAAGGCAAAACCCAAACTTAAATGGAAGTTACAGTCTTCGAGGAGCTGCATCCGTAAGAATCGGGGGATCAGTGGACAGTCGTTTTGAACCAGGGGCACACATTACAGAGATGGTGGTGCTAAGGCGCTTAAATATGATGCATTATTTAATGAGCCTCCACTTACACTGCATTTTCCGTGTCCATCCAATTCACCGGTGTGTTTGTACGGCACCTCCCCGCACCAGCCGTAACCGGTAACTCGCGTGACCAGTCGTTGACACGCTTAGTACAGCTGCGGCCTTTGCTCTCATAAATTAGGAAGAATAGTGCTAGCACTCATTTCTATGGAATTAGCAATTTATTTTGCTGGCTTTTGGCACATCTAGTTGACTGCTAGCTTATTGACAGTGTTTGGCGGCTAATGTGTTGTATAAACTGTGGCAGGAAGTAGGGATGTGATGTCATTAGGTCCATCGCCTTACGTGCGTTGAAGTGATTGTCATTCTGGCCCTTAAATGTGTGGATCGTTAGAAGAAAGCTTAAATTTGGAAATGGTATAATCCACTTCATGTGGAAAGGTTTCATAATGTATTGCAAGTGCTGCCTCAATTTGTATTGTGCCCTATTCCCTCTTTGCCTAACAGCTTTGATTGTGCGATCTTTGGTTCTCCTGTGGCACTAAATACTCAGCTTACGCTGCAGTGGATGCGTCTCCCTAATTGTTGCTGTAAGCAGTGTCCACAATTGTGGCTACAAGGAGGACGGTGCCCCGACCTTCTTCGTGTCCATTAATTGACCCTCTTTCCTTATCAAATGGGATCGTGATGGAGACATGGACGTTGTATTCACCACGACGATTGAAAATGATGTGCGACCAGTACCTCGAATCCAGCAAAGGATCTACCGAGGAAATAAGCGTTGCTTTATCAGTTTGGACTGAAAAACCGATTTAGCTCTTTAGACAGAAATGCGGATTTGGGTGTCTGTACTCACTTTGTATACCCATTGTTTCGGATAGTAAAAGCATCCACTCTATCTACCCGTTCTCTTTTTCCATTACTTATCCAATTAGTGGCCCAGAAGAACACGGGTAATAGCACACGATAGGGCAGTATGGAAGAGTTGTTAGCACACTTTGTAAACGGTGGTGGCCAAGTTATTTAAAATTCTCATTTATTTTATATGAAACCTCTACGTAAGCATCGCGGTATTAGGAGATCTGGAAATTGAACCTCGTCACTACAGGAGGTGAAGTACGGCAAATGTGCCAAAGCACAACGAAGAGAAGGCGCTTTCTACTCTCAGTAACATTTGCTAATAAATATGTTTTAGGGCAAATTTTGTGGGCCAATTGAAAGCCACCTTCCGTTTTCTATTAATACTATCAAATTCGTGTAGATGCAAACCGCAACGGATTTAATTAACCCCTGACCCTAAAAAATATGCAATACTCCGTCCCAAGTAAGTAACAGAGCCTTTAGCAATCTTGCTTCCCACCAATTGACATAAAACGCCTCTCCACGATCTGTTTTGAATTCCATCCGCAGTGTTAACAACAGGACACATGAATGCAGTGGACGATTGGGTCTGTCTCCGCAAAAGAAATGCAGTAAATTTCAAGGCTCACGCATTAATGTGCTATTAATATGCATGCAACAGGCAAATAACACGGCATATAACTTGCTGGATGGTTGATATTTGCTACACTTTTAATAACTAGGACCAACCCATCTTATACATTTTTATTTTTGAGTTATTTGGTAGGAAACTTGGTCATTTACAATTGTCCATTACATGAGCTGGAAAAGGCTTTCATTCACACCATCGCTACATTCAGAGGTGGAACCAGTGCACTGACTCCCTATCACCAACATCTGTTCCACTTCTTACTGCCTCATGAAGAGCAGCTGTGTTCCAAGACCTGCCTCTATCAAAATGACCCTAGCAGAGGATAGGCCGGAGCTTGGCGATGAGGCTGCCACAGGATTAAGTGAATCGTCAGTTGGTAGTGGAGCTCAGCATCAGGTCAAATGTCAGCGGAGTTCACCTGAGCTGTAAGCAGACCAACAGCGACCACAGGTCGGGCGGTTAAGGAACCAATTGCCAGTCACCGGGAGGGATGCTGTGAGCTCGTCTACATTCTGCATTCTGTGTGAGCTCAACCCATCATAACTGCAAATCACTGACCGCCACTCCAAAACTGCAACAGTTTTGGTGGAACAAGGCGTAAAGCAGGGTGTGGTCAGTGGTACAGGCAGAGAAAAGCGTTTATCAGCATGAGTTTTGATAATAAAGTCGCGCCATTTTGCGTTTGAATAAACTGAAATCTGCTTTTAGTTCAAGTGAAATCTGCTAAAAGCAAGAGCACTACAAGTTTTGAATCAGTCTCATAAGATTCAACTGCTGCGTCGGAGATGGAGAGGCTTCCCGAATGCGTACAAGCTAGAATTTGCA